TCTCGCATTCAGTCTCTGTTGTCGATCGCTTTTTTTTAGATCGAGAAGCTCCGATATCTCGAGTCGCAGCCCCTGTCCCCGGTAAATAGAAAACACGCGGCGGTTGCATCGATTCCTCGAGCGATTCGCCGCGATACCACTCTAAAACTGGCTCCCGCGGATATAAAAATAGTGCCGGATCGTTGCTGCAACGTTCGACGAAAGCCGGCGATGATGAATCGTGCCGCGAATTTTATTTACGTGGGCGCGCCGCTTGGAGAAGCTAAATCGAGGACGCGGAGACACGGAAACGTTCACGTGTTCAGAGGTTTGATGATTGTTGCTTGAAAACGATGGATTTGGAGGGTATCTTCAGTTGTTTATCTTATTTTGTAATGGTGGTGCTTGTTCACCCTTTGCACTCGACAGTCTTTTACTGGAAATATTCAAGATTTTCCGAGATACAGACGACGTTCGAACCTAATCTAACGACAGTTCACAGATAAATTAAGTAACAATGGTATTTTACTTAAATATTTCACATAGCAATACAAAGTTCAATTTAAAGTAAATATTTAACTTCATAGTTTTGCTGTATCGAATCAAATGGTGACTGAGAGTCACCTCTCGAGTGCAAAGGGTTAAATATTGTTTAAAATCACTAGATCTATATATGAATCAAGGATTTTACTATCCTCCACTTTACGTTCTATTTAGATAATGAACTCTTAATTAGACTTCAAACAATTTTCTTCGTAGTACGTGGGACGGTCGTCAAATGATCGTTTCGACCCACCCAGTACATTCCAACAGGTGCGCCTTAAAATCAGAATGAAAGTTGTTAGTTATTCAAAGAGCCGTAGATCTGCAATAAAATAAAATTAGGTGACAATATCTAACATCGCGTCTGTCAGCAGTTTAATAAAACAATTCCATATTCAATGTTCGAATTCTCCAGTGGATCGTCTATGCAGACTAAACGTTATTGAAAATAACCGGTAATCTCGAGCGTTAAAAATTCTTATCGAGACCGAAGGTTCGTGATAAATGAGTGTACAGCTGGTCCAAGGTACGCCCAGCAATATTTCAAGATAATGGTCCGCGATAGCGGAAGAATTTCTCGCGTGAGAGGGAGCCGTGAAAGATGCCGCGCCGCGGCCGGGGAAATCGGAAAATTCTGATCGACGAGGAGCTAAGGAGCACCGTGGAAGTGTGCCACGGGGACAGTGGATTACCGGCGTGTCGGCCGCGCGGGTTAGAATAAATCGGCCGACTTTCCGAGACGCCGTGCACCGCGCACCGCCCCGAGGCCAGCTAACTTCCTTATCGATCCCATCGACCGACGGAACCACCGCGACTTCCCGTTCGCGAAGGGAAAAGTGTATCGGTTCGCCGGCTTTCTGATCGAGTTCCGTGTACGCTCGTTCACGGAAAGCCAATCTCGGTAAATAACTCTCGTTCCTGGGGAGATGATGGTTGCCCGTCAATGGACGGACCTTGGCGGGTTCGGTGTAAATGGAGTTGCTGATCAATGAATCAGAATTTTCTGTTTCTTTGGAAGTATTGAGTGTAGATGATTTTTGGGTTGTTATGTGGCAAAGTTGCGGAGTTTCCTAGTGTAAAAATGTCGAAGTTTCAAAGTTTCAAAGTTTCAAAGCTTCAAAGCTCCAAAGTTCCAGAGTTCCAAAGTATAAAAATTCCAAACTTCCAAAGCTTCTAGATCTCAAAGTTCCCAAGTTTCAAAGTCCCAAAGTTCCAAGTTTCCAAAGTCCCAAAGCTCCCAAGTCTCAACCTCCCAAAGTTCCAAAGCTCCGAAGTTCCCAAGTCTCAAAGTCCCAAAGTTCCAAGTTTCCAAAGTCCCAAAGCTCCCAAGTCTCAACCTCCCAAAGTTCCCAAGTCTCAAAGTTCCAGAGTCCCAAAGTACCAAAGTTTGAAGATCACAAAGTTCCAAAGTCTGAAGATCCCAAAGTCCCAAAGTTGCAATGTCTGAAAATCCCAAAGTCCCAAAGTTCCAAAGTCTGAAGCTCCCAAAGTCACAAAGTCTAAAAGTCCCAAAGTTCCAAAGTCAGATCCCAAAGTCCAAAAGTTCCAGCTTTCAAGATGAAAACAAGACACTGTATCCGTACTACCAATATCCATCCCCTACAAATAGCTCCAAGCAACACAGCTACGAAAGAAGTCCTCTTCCAAAATACTCCTTATCAAAGAAAATTCTCAGAACTACACACGATCGTCTAGTACTTAATTAGATAGCGAATTTGAAGTTCCAAGCGATTTCCAGTAAAAGGAAATTTGGCCGCGTGGTAAAGTGATCGGACGAATTCCCGGTGAAAGTTTTACGTCCTGCTGAGGCGAGTACATATCCGCCGGGTGTACTGAAACGATAGGTTCCAGGAGGAAAGTAATAAAACGATCGAGGAAGTCCAATGGAGGACAGATCCGCTCGGTTCGAACGAGTACCCTATGAAACGAGAAATTTATTTCCGTTGTCCAGTTATTAATAGAATGAAATTGCCATTGAGCTAAAATAACATGGTGCAGTAATTCGGATTCTATATACAGGGTGTGCTCGGAATTGCGTTAGAATGAAATTAAGTCTCTAATCTCAGTCTATTGTTCTTTCATTACTCGTTGTCTAACATATCCTGTGTCCCATTCCAATCTCCCTAGGGAAATTCTCATTGAAATAACCAGTCGAATAAATTCATTTTACTATTAACAATTTCTGAGAATATACAAAAACTTACTGCTTATCGTACATACACGTTCACTATCAAAATAAAATATTGATACGAACCAAATCATATACTGTCATTTTGATCTACGTTTATCAAACTAGAAATCTTTATTATTCGCTACTATAGAACAAGAGATCAACAAATACCAAAGAAGTACCAAAACTGACTGTTCACCATGAACCCAAATTTTCTTCAAAACTGAAACATTAATACCAGCAAGATTAAATTATCTCTCTGATCCACGTTCGTCAAACCAAAAATCTTTATTATTCGCAGCTATAAGACAAGAGACGAACAAATGCTGATGAAGTGTCCATTAAAAACGGCGAAGTTTAATTCCGTGGTAGAATGAATCGCGTGCCGGGCCCACCGCACAGGAGCGTCTCGAATCCGCCAGGTGGTTGACCCGCATATATCGCGTCCGAGAATACCCAGGAATGATGCATTCATCATCGCCGGTCCTAACGGAAAACTGCGGGCATAAAAATCCCGCGTGGCGAGACTGTATTAAGCGTGAAATTTAGTGGCGTGAATTTATGACGGCTACCCTCGTATATCAGTGAAATAAGCTCGTCTAGCTATGTACTCGAGCTATAGATCATCAACTGGATACTCAGCTTAGGCCAATGACGCCGAACCGAGGTAAATACTGAATATTCTCTCGAGGATGGTAACAATTTCCAGGGAATCGCCGACAATTTCCCGATGACCTTGGGGCCGATCAACCGCTTCCAAAGACAACATATCCAACAATATCGATATCCACTCTACCAGAATAAAGTGACAGGGCCTGTGGCGCGAATAGTGACACAGCTATTTCTGGACACGCGAGCCGTGTGTGTACTCGAGGAAACGAGCGGAAACCTTTCGCTAGGCCGCGGAAGAGAAGCCACGGCTAACCGGAACATCTATTGTCTCTCGTATTATATTTTCCGCTGTTTTCCGCATTGTCGGTCGTCGAACGCACGATAGAATCATGGAGTTCCTCAGAAATGTACAATGTTTCGACCGTTTAATTTCGCTGTTTGTTGATTTTATTAAGTGATAATCTACTTGGAACACCTATTGTCTCTCGTATTATATTTTCTGCTATTCTTTGAATTGTTGATCGTCGAACACGCGATAGAATCATGGAGTTCCTCAGAAATGTACAATGGTCAAACGTTTAATTGGCTGTTTGTTGATTTTATTAAGTGATAATCCATGCGGAACACCTATTGTCTCTCGTACTATATTTTCCACTAGTGTTCTCTGAATTGTCGGTCATCGAACATATGATAGAATCATGGAGTCCCTTGTAAGTGTTAATTTCGCTCTTAATTGCTTCTATTAAGTGACAACGTATCAAAATGCGAGAGTAAACAATGCATACGTTGAACTGTATTTACAACTTATTTTTGTTGGTCACTATTTCTATTGAATGACGATCTATCGAAAGACACAAATAATTGGAAGCAATAGTTTGATTTCGAAACAATTCGAAACGATAACTTCTCATTCAGACTTCAAAAGATGTCTCCTAACACCTTCGGTAGAAATACTATTAACCCTTTGCAGACGAAGATTCTTTGAAATATACAAAACTATTAAATATACTAAATTATTAAATTAAATTTAATTTAATCGACTAATCGACAAATCGACTAAAAAAATCATTTGCTCGCGACTCAGTGTTACGAATATAAAGTTTCATCTCGCCGAAATGACATCCTTCCGTAAAGGATTAAGTGTTACCTTTTATTATATCCTTTTATACCTATTATTACGTTGTCTCCAATATTACTAACAAAAAGAATTGCTCTGCGTTCTACAAACTCTTTCAAAGTGCACGTCGAACACTTCTAACAACACAGAGTTACCAAGAAAAAACCGGAATCCGAGGTGCAAAGGCTTAATATTCCCATTCCAAGGAAACTCGTGACGAGTTACAAGAAACGAGAATAATTGCTCAAAGAGCGCCAGCGAGCTCCCGAATTTTGATTGTACGGAACAGGAATTAACGCGAATCGCATTTGCTCCTGAGCCGCGCAGCCAGCTGTCGATCCATTGAATTACGCTCGGCTGCAGCAGGAATAAAGGTCGAATGAAATTTCGGTCGAAGTTCCACGCGTCCGGCGTACAGCGAGCGCGCGCGCACGCGTGTCCCCGATAACAAATTAATAATGAAGATCGCCGAGCCCGGGGATAACGAACCGTGCCGCGATCTCGAACGTCGCGATGCGAGGCTGACACCGATCCGCTCGGCCTGTAGTTCGCACGGATAAAAATAGAATTTCCACTCACCCTCTGCGCCTTCCGCTTGTCGGCCCGCTGATTCTGGTGATATATGCGACTGAAATTACTGACGATAACAGGCACCGGTAAAGCGATCACAAGGACACCGCTCAGGGAGCATACACCCCCCACGATTTTTCCCGCGATCGTTTTCGGAACCATGTCACCGTACCTGCAACAAAAATCGAGCGCAATTGTTAGTGTCATCGTGTTGAGATATTATGGAATAATTGTACTGTTTCAAATAAAATTCTCTTTCTCCTACAATATAATAGTTGTCATGAAATAATTGTACTGTTTCAAATAAAATTCTCTTTCTTCTACAATATAATTGTTGTCATGAAATAATTATAATGTTTCAAATAAAATTCTTTTTCTACTACAATATAATAGTTGTCATGAAATAATTGTACTGTTTCAAATAAAATTCTCTTTCTGCTACAATATAATACTTGTCATGAAATAATTGTACTGTTTCAAATAAAATTCTCTTTCTTCTACAATAGTTATTATGACAACTAATAATAAGTATTAGTATAATTATTTCATGACAACTCACAATAAAACACTAACCAAATCAAACAACTCACACGCTATTTATACACTCAGATGCTCTTGTCTCTCTCGCACACTTTCTACACTCTTTCATAATGCATTAACTTCACATATTAATAAGAGTAGTTATCTAATGAGAAAAATATCAGAAAATAAGATTTATTCGAATAAATTTACTTTGATTTATTTCTTGAAAAACATAGTAAGAAAATTATAATTGACACTGATAAACAGATGCGCCTCCGCGCTCTTCGCAATTTTGGCACGACACAAGAAGCACTCAAACGGTTAACACATTGCGTACCGGGTAATTTTCAGAAAACTGAATTGTGATGGCAATTCTCACTGAGGTCAACTTACTATACATAGAGAAACTCAGATATATTGTTATGTAATATACTTTAAATAGACAATCGATTCGAATCAAATTTTACATTTTCTTTCAATATTAAATTTTCTTTGTGTTGCAGTAATCACTTTTATGGCATGATATTACAATTTAATTAATTCATTGTTATCGCTATGAAATATTACGGTAATAATACTAACTTTTAGAGCAGTATTGCTCTAAAATTATTGATCACTTGTTTTAGTCATTGAACCGTCTAACAAATAAAGTACTCTAAATCTTATCAATGAAATGTTCTTCCCCTTAATCATCCCCTTGTCTTCCATTGTTTCTCTCCAAGCCCAAAACCTCTCCACTCCCTACCAATATTTCCAAAATCCGAGCAGAACGCGTCACGCCAACGGATACCTCTGCTTTCCCCATAAAACGGAATGAATATCATCCGGAACAAGACGTTTCCCATTCCTTCTTTCGCCCGCTTCCCGCGTCCGTCCGGCGGTGTTTAATTGAAAAATCCCGTACAACATCTGGCACGTTGTTCGCATAATTTCATAGCTGCTTTACGGTCGCCGGTCCCGCGATGAATCACACCGCGCCGCGATTTATACGATAATTCGCATCGTAAATTCTCGCGTCCCCGGCGAAAGAATGAAATTCAACTGTATCGCCCGAAGAAACCGTCGGAACGGAGCGGACAGAAGAGGAGAAGAACGAGAAACGGAGGGAAATTTCACTTTCAATTTCTCCGCGCGGCAACGTTCGCCGGAATAAAAATGGCGGAACTGCACGGGAAATTCACGACGTACCGAGCAAGATTACGAGCGCCTCTTCTTTCCGTCGTAACGCGATAAAACTTTCCCACGATTGTACGTGTCCTGAAACGCGCCGCCAACGACGCCCGCCGCGACTTTGTACCGTGAACATTCACTCCGAGTCACATAAATTCCTTTGTCGGTGAATTATACCGGCGATCAACGGCCACCGCGATTCCCTCGACACTTCACTTTTTATTTTATCATGGATAAATTATCGAGTTAGAGACTAGCAATTCTAGGATTATTGATTTCTGAGAGTACCAATCTAGAGGTTATCAACTTTCTGAGATGATCAAACTTGAGATTATCAACTTTGGAAGGTAGCGATCTAAAGGTTATCGACTTTCTGAGATTACCAGTTTTGAGATTATCAAGTTCTGAGAGTACCAATCTAGAGAGTATCAATATTTGGGAGTACCAATCTAGAGAGTATCAATATTTGGGAGTACCAATCTAGAGACTATCAACTTTTGAGAGTACCAATCAAGAGACTATCAATTTTTGAGTGTACCAATCTAGAGACTATCAACTCTTTGAGATTATCAACTTTTGAGAGTACCAATCTAGAGACTATCAACTTTTGAGAGTACCAATCTACAGACTATCAACTTTTGAGAGTACCAGTCTAGAGACTATCAACTTTTGAGAGTACCAATCTAGAGACTATCAACATTTGAGAGTACCAATCTAGAGACTATCAATTTTTTGAGATTATTAACTTTTGAGAGTACCAATCTAGAGACTATCAACTTTTGAGATTATCAACCTTTGCACTCCGTAGACGCCTCTCAGTCGCCAATTGATTTGATACAACAAAATTATTAAGTTTGATATTTAATATTAAACTTTGTACAGTGCATCAATATGTGAAATATTGAAAGAAAATAGTTCAGTTCCATAATTTATGTGCGATCTCTTGTCATCTCAGTTTGAAAGAATGTCGTTGTCATCTCATTAGATGTTCAGTATTTCCAATAGAAAACTTCTGGAGTACAAAGGATTAATATAATAGTGAAACTACCGAACAGGTGGAATGACTTATTTCTAATTTATTATACAAATTAGAATAGATTTCTTGAGATTCGAATGGTCTTTTTGTCTTGTGTCTGTACAAAGATAAATTGTTCGTTAATCTGTCTTTTCTGATGGTTTCAGTTAACTTTCGGTTCCATTTTAGTTGGTCTTTAGTTTAGTTCACGCGGAAGAAATTCTTGTTGATGTTAATTTAGAGCGAGGCTCATTATCGATAGTAACTGCGAGGGTTCTTGGAAACTTGGAAGTTTTATTGGATAATTAGTGGGAAGTTTCGAGTGAAATGAAGATGTAACGTTCAGTATGGTGGAATGTTAACTCTTCCAGTAAAGAGAGGATTGTTAGGAATTGTTATACAAATCGATAGAGAATATTATTTATACAGAAACATACAAAGCGTTATTATTTATACAGAGAAAATTGAAGTTCTCGTTCAATTTTCATAGTGCATTCACGTATAAATTTGATCATACGCATATATAATGACGAAATCTGAAATGATTACAATTAGCCTTGTTGGAACAATCGACCAGCCCATTAACTGAATTATGAAGTATAAATTCTTTAGCGATAAATTACAAAATAACAGATTTTGTATAAATCTATGAATTATTATGTATGAATTACTAAATGAATTATTAAGCACAAATTCTTTAGCGATAAATTACAACATAATAGATTGTTCGTTGCACAGATTTTTAGATAGCAAGGTAACCCGTAATTCAATGAATTCCACGGTCTTCAGAGGTGAATCAATTAAATTACAGTGTTTAAAGTTTCTGCGGAGCGTGACGAGAATTATTTAGGAGCTCGATGAAAAATGCAAATGAGCCTTGCGGCAGCGGTCGACGCAATCAGCCGGGCCGAGGATAATGCACGACGATTTGATAAATATTTGAGAAATAGAACGCGACACGTAACAGACTAATTTATCATAGGCCAGCTAGATTAGCCGTGTATCGTGCGAGAAACTGGTTGTACCGACCCGCCGCGTCTCCGCGAACGCGCCGGGCACTTATACCGCAAACGTCACGAGCACCTGACGTGGGCTTCGGAACGCGATGTCTGACCATGACGCCTTATTCCACTGAAAGTGAAAAGACGAATCGCTGCCGCTGGCTCGCGACGCGTTGTTCCGTTCGAACAGTTGCTTCGGTGGAATGTTAAACTGCTCGAGCTTCGGATGTTTAGGAGTGTGCAGTTGAAAGAAGAATAGTTATTAAAGACAATTTTGTTAGTCATTTGAGAACAGAGAGAGAGTTGTAAGCTTGGCAAGGCAAGGTTGAAGGTTCGGTGCCAGCAAACTATTTAATTTTGATTTGGGAATATCAATTTGAGATTGTTATTTGGAATATTAATTTTGAGATTGTTATTTGGGACTATCATTGTTGAGATTATTGATCTTTGAGAGCACCAATCTAGAGGTTATCAACTTTTTGAGATGATCAAACTTGAGATTATCAACATTTGAGAGTACCAATCTAGAGACTATCAACATTTGAGAGTACCAATCTAGAGACTATCAACATTTGAGAGTACCAATCTAGAGACTATCAATATTTGAGAGTACCAATCTAGAGACTATCAACATTCTGAGATTACCAGTTTTGAGATTATCAACTTTTGAGAGTACTAATCTAGAGACTATCAACTTTAGAGAGTACCAATCTAGAAACTATCAACTTCTGAGAGTACCAATCTAGAGACTACCAACATTTGAGAGTACCAATCTAGAGACTACCAACATTTGAGAGTACCAATCTAGAGACTATCAATATTTGAGAGTACCAATCTAGAGACTATCAACTTTTGAGAGTACCAATCTAGAGACTATCAACTCTTGAAACTAGCAATCTAAAGATTATCAACTTTTGAGAGTACCAATCTACAGACTATCAACTTTCCCAAATTACCAATTCCAAGATCATCAACTTCTCGGAGCTACCAATCCTAAGATGACCAACTTCTGAAACTACTAATCTTATCAATCCTTTGCAACACTCAATTCCCTTCATCTTAACACTCAAGTCTATTCCCAAAACAGTAGCTCCTCGTCAAGAGAGCGATGCAACTGTTCTAACAACTGTTTCCCCTGCGAATGACAAATTCATAGTTTTGAAGCAATAGCTTGCCCCAGTTGCGCGGAACACCCTGTAAAAGCAAACTGCTCCGACCAACGCACCGATTCATAATTTATTTAAACGAACGCCGTTAACGGTCCCGTTGAAAAAACGGCGGGAATACAATGCAAGGACGTGCACAGCTCGGACGAGCGAAAAGTGCAGCTCACGATATGTATCTCCTGTGCCGTGACGCACGTGTTAATTAACCCTTTCATCAGAGCCGCCCCCACCACTGCGCATATTCTACGATAAGAGTGCGCCAGTGGTTGAGAATAATTTGCGTCTACACTTTTGACGA